AATAAATTAGATTAATTTAATTAATTTAAAATATTTTTTATGTTTGTAGGATGTCTAATTGGATGAAAAATTGGGAATGGGAAAATGGAAGGGTCCCCTGATTCGTCCTCCTGCAAATCCGGTGGAGGAGAGTACTTCGGAACGGGAGGGCAGAACGCACAACTGTAATGTTACCGGTTCTAAACGTCGTGGGGAACGGACTGGTGCTTTTGTACAACCACGTATGACAATCGAGGAGGAGAAGGAGGAGACAGAGGCAGAGCCCGAGTAGGAGATGGATACATATATGGATCCTCACGAGGACGAGTACGATCCAGGACTACGTTTTCAGCAGAAGTATCAGTTCCTGGTGCCTGACCGATGATGATGACGAGGACGGTTTGACTCCGCCTCCGCCTCCGGCTTATACAATGACTGGTACTTCCGGTGGTTCTACTCCTGCCCCAAACCCGAGGTCCCGGCCAAGTCCGAAAAAAACTCTTCCTACTCGACCGTGGAAGTTGATTGGTGAGACACCCGGTGGACCAAAATACCCTCATTTGATTCCGAGTTTTGGAGCTCATATTGCCTACGACATATGGGAGGGAAAGGTAATACTTCTTAATTTTAATAAATTTTGTTTAAAATGTTTATAGTTGATTTTCCTATTCTTAAATATCAATATATCTTCAACAGGGCCGACATATTGCGGTCTCATGCGAAGTCTACTTGGCTGGGCCCCAACGACTATTATAGTGTTTCACTACTGGAGTGTACGGGGTTGTATCACTTGCGTTATTGTTCGCTCCCTCAGCACAATAACCCATTAATTGATAGAGGCTTTTATCGAGAGGTGGCAGCCAGACACCAACAGCTTTCATATGCCGTTTGGAGAGATGACAAGTACTCTCCACGGTGTGCAATATATCATGCATTTGCGAGTTAGTGGAAAGCGCCCTAACGTTTGGATGGATAAGACAGATGTGATTTATGGAGAGCGTTCGGTGTCGAGCCCCGAGATATGGAAAAGTGGTATGGTGGCGGATCCTGATTAGATGATTTGGATAGGATGTATGGAGACAATTCTTCATTTGCGTCCGAGTTTCGGGTACGAGCATATATTGCGTACTTGCTCGGTAAGCTGTTGTTTGTCGATAAGAGTGGATCAAATGTGAAAGTAGATTTTTTTTCCACTTTTAGAGCAGATCGATATGATTTCCGACTATTCCTGAGGTTCGGCTACATTGGCCTATTTGTATCGACAATTGGGCATGGCTACGCGAGCTGAGGCGGCGCAGATGGGTGGTTGTCTGACACTGTTAGAGGTATTTTTTATTTGCAGTAACCCCTCAATTTATTTTTTTATTAATATCACCAAACTGTTATGTTTAATATGTCGTATCATTATTTTTGTAGTGTGTGATATATGAGTATTTTCCGTGTTTCCGGCCTCCGATGGTTAACGCACATTTGAATGGAGAGCTCTGGTGTAAGAGGTGGCAAGTGATACATCATATACACATTTTTTGGACCGTACAATCAGCTTTTCTTGCAATATTGTTCTTGGAAAAAGATCTCATTGCATGGAAACTTGAGCTTAATTTCGAACTCTTGATTATCGTTCTAACAGTGAGATTAATTAATTATTTTTTTTAATTAACTTATAATTATAACCTTAATATTTAATTAATTAAGATATAATTATTTTCTCGATCGACAGGCGATTTTCAGCAGTGCGATACGTAGCAGTATTCAGATATGGTGCACGAAATGAAGGACCTTATTTTGTACCCGCATTCAAGCCATTTGGAATTCCCTACGCAAGCACGTTCGACTCGTTGCTCTTTCCATATACTTTCCATTACGGAAGGTAATTAATTAATTAATTGATAAATTAATTAAAAGCTCGATCTTTCTGACGAGTTTAATTAAGGTCCACCTCACTTTTAAACATATGTTTCACAATAATATTTAATAACTCGAGTTCGACTCATTTACACCCTTATTTATTCAGAAATAATTGAAAATAGTGGTTGTGCACACTTTGTATTTAATGCATGTTTATCATCTCAAAAGAAGGTGAGAATAATAATTGAAAAAACCATTTTAAGATTATTAAGAGTTTGTGCAAAGTTCTTAATTAACACACACGGAAACTCTAAATAAATTAAAAAAAATAAATTCATGTAATTCATTAAGATACTTCAACAGATTCCAACATATAATTAAAGAATAAAGAATGAGAAAAAATAAAAAAATAGATATGATAAATTCAATAATTACCTTGAGATTTTTTTTTGCTCTGTAAAAGATTTAAACAATTCTAAAGATTAATGTAGGTTGGTGGGACTTAGATTAATTTTAAATAATAGTATTAGGAATCTTAATTAAACATGCATTTTTCTGTTAATGAAGAAACTCGCACCCAAACATATAGGTGCACTGGATAAATCTAATCTCTTGTAAAATAATCTACAAATTATACGAGAATCGTAAATCACACTTGGCTGACCATGTGTACGAGCTCTTACCTACATAATAATATATCTAATCCAACAAACTCAATAAACAAACCAAAACAACCTCTTCACACTTCTCCTCCAAACACCAAAACCGTAAATGTAGAAACATAAACAAAACCAAAAAAAAAAAAAAAAACAATCTTGTAATAATTAATTTAATCTCACCTCTTCCATCTCTTAATCACATCCAACAAAATCTCATTCCACGTGTCAATAGGTCCAGGCAAACACCAATGCATGCAGTCATTCGGCACGCGCTCCAGAACCCCGTTCGCAAACGGAAACGGGTTCATGTAAGGCCCGGGGTGTCCGTCCGGCCTCAACACAGCCAACTTACTAATATCCAAAGCTTCGAATTTCAAATCATTTTCACTATTTCCACACCTTCTATTCGCTTCCTCCACTTCCGCCATACCGATTCTCCTCAATTCCTCCTCAACCTCATCAAGAACTCTCTCACCTTGTTTAAAAGGCCGAGTCTTCGGGCACGCCCCTAACTTATCCCACTGCCCTTCGAAATGCGCAGGCGAAAAAGTCGTCAAGAAAACCCTAATCCCGTTTCCGTGATTATTATTATTAGACCCTTTTCTCTTGATTATCGAATCAAATGTAGTACTCAACGCCTTGCCAAAAACATCGTAGAATCCGGTTTCGGTGTAGTTTGCGCAGAAATGGCATCCGATTATCGAGCTTCCGTAGTAATAAACGGCCGGGTGCAAATACCAATGCCCTATAGAAAGTACAAGCATGTCAATATGATCCAAATCCGCCGCCCATCGTTCGTCGATGGATTCCAAATGCAACGTGTTGAAGTCTTTTTCGATTGTTCTCTCGACACCTTTGACGAGAAACGGCGACCAGTAAATCGAGAAGGTGACGTTGTGCGACCTCACGTGCCATTTCCTGAACTTGTTGTCCTCTCCGCCCGTGTAGAGAAGATCCGGTTTCGAGGAAACGGAGACCATGCAGAGGAGTGATTCGAGCTGGTTTCTTGCTAGGGAATCACCGACGAACGCCACGTGTCTGTTTTTGACGAGATCGAGGAATTTTCTAGGGTTGAATCTGGGGAGGGTGCAGTTTTTAGGGTTCCATTTCCAGTGGAGATAATCTTTGTCGGGTCGGCCGAAAACCATGCAGTTTTGGCCTTGTTTGATTGTGTCGCAGGTTGTCCCATTGTACAGCGGCTCCAGATTATGTGGGACCCACTCTCCATTGCTGTAGTCGCACGTTGCTGCTTGAGATACGATGGTTTTTCTCAATACTTCTGCAAATTCCGCAAAAAAAATAAATTAAAAATGAAATCTTCATATGAATAAATAGATACAGCAATATATATATACATATAGATATATGTATATAGATAGATACCTTGGGAATTGGAAGAAGGGGAGATGAAATTAGGGTTAAGGGTGTAGGAGAAGGGAAGAGAAAAATAAAAGGGTTTAAAATAAAAGTGAAGGAGGATTAATGGAAGGAAGGCGCTCAGAAGATAAGAAAGTAACTTTTTGGAGAGAGAGGAATTCGGTTTCTCTTTGAATGGGTTATTTGATGATCCCATTTTTCACAACTTTAAGGAAGACGAAGAGAGAGAGAGAGAGAGAGAGATGATGAGAGAGAGAGAGAGAGAGAGATTCCTATTTTTCTCTGAAAAAAAGGAGAGAAATTTGTAGGGTGATTGTCAAACATGAAAAGTCGTATATAGAGTATATCTCATTATTATATTATTAATTATTAGTATTATTTATTGGTGGAAAGGAAAAAAAGGAAAGCAGTTCTTCATACGTTAAAAAAAATAAAAATAATAAATAATAAAAAGAATCTTCACATAAATTAAACTTTATTTTATTTGTTCATCCTATAAATATATAGATCTTATTTTGTGCTTGATTTCATCTCATGAATTAATTCTTTCCTTTTGAAGAATCTATAAGAAAAATAATTCAGTTCTCATTTTTTTTAATAATGAAATTGATGTCATGTTGAATAACATATTTGTTACTCCATTCGTTTCTAAATAGGTGTCGTTTTTCACCTTGTCACAAATCTTAAGAATCTCAATAAATATGTCTTGATTTTAGGAAAATAAATGTTGATGGACCAAAATACCCTTGTTTATTAATTAATGCAGGAAGAGTGCTATAGAGTTAATAATGTTAAAATTGAAAAATAAGCTATTAATGCAGCATTGAAATTGTAAGGTGACATATAATATGGAACAAAAAAATATTCTCAAAAGAGACAGATATTATGGAACAGAGGAGCAGTTAGTACTTAGGAGTAGTACAACTATTGTGTGTTTGTATTAATTAATTATTGATTGTAATAATGTATGTTGTCACCAATATCCACGCCTTCTTCAACTAGCAAAATACAACCAAATGGTTTAGTTTATATAGTAAATTGGCAAGTACTTTCTTATATGAATTATATATATTACATATTTTATATGTGGATTTGGAGTTACTTTATTGTAAAGATTCGATACATGGTGTAAATGAGTTGAGTCGGCTCGTTAAAGCTCGAACTTCGACTTGCGAGTTTGAGTTTTCTGATGAGTCGAACCAGAACTCATTTTTAGTTGTTTTGAGATCGCGAGCAGATTCTATAACTTTTTCTTTTTACTATAATTAATGTAAAATTGAACAATAAATTCATATAAAAAATTAAAACAATAAGTTACATGTCACCTTTTTTATTTCGAATTTTTATTATAATTTATAACAATAAATTCTAATAATATTAATAAAAACAAAAACACAAAATGGGCTCGGACTCGGACTCGAGTCAAAAAATAATAATTTAATGCATTAATCGAGCCTTTTCCCCTCAAATGAACCAATTTTATTAAATTTCCAAAGCCCAATTAAATATATATTTGGATCCAAATTTCAGATTCCAGATCCTTGACCCAATATACAAAACTCTAAAGTCGCACTATTGAAAAAGCGCGCTTTTTCAGAAACTGAAGAACACGACTTTAAGTGTTATTTTTTTTCTTTTTCTTTTTCTGTTTTTCACCCAAAAAAAATGATAAATAAAACTTGGAAAAAAGAAAGAAAAAATAAAAAAAATTGAAGAGAAAAGGCAGAGACCCCCTCCCCTCGTGCAGCAATCAATATGAGTACAGCGGCCATGGAAGCTCAATTTCACGGCGAGGAATTCGCCGTCGGCTGCGTACTATCAATCAAAACCACCCTCGGCGAGGAATTTCAAGCCCAAGTCATTGCCTTCGACCGCCCCTCCAACCTCCTCATTCTTCATATCCTTGCTCTAAATTCATCTTTTTTTTTCTCTGTGTAGTTTTTGTTCTTCTGTTAATTTTCGAATTCTGGTTTGCAATTTTTGTTTTGTTATTGGTGAATTCCTTAACTTTGAAGCTTGGAAATGAACAAGAAGGGGCGAAATCTGGGGGAGGAGCGAGAAAGGATATTAGGTTAATTAAGGCGAATTACATAAAGGAATTCAGCTATTTAGGTCAAGGCGATGATCCACTTGATGTGAAGAGGTGTTTCCTTGATCTCAACTCTCTTCAAGCTAGAGAAGAGTCTGCTATTAGGTTTAACTCCCAAACCTTTAATTTAATTTTTCCAATTTTTTTTTTTATTTGGGTTGTGAATTATCTCTCTTGCACTTGTTTATTTGGTTGTGAATCTCAGACAAGCGGAGGCCGACGCAGAGAGGATTGGGGTTGGTGTTACACCCGAGGCGCAGAGTCTTTTCGATGCTCTCTCGAAAACGTAATGTGTCTCTTTTACCCCCCAGGCCCCACCCCCTCGATTATTAGGTGTTGCCGTTTCTCTACTACGATTGAAATTACTTAGTGCATTGCTTTTATGGATTTTTGCACCCGTATATGATTCTTATTAATAGTTCAATTAGACGAAGCGATTGCTGTAAAATGTTTAGCTAAATTAAGATGTGAAAATGGGATAATTAGTTCATTGCGGATTGGTACTGGCTTGTTCGATTATTGTGATTATCGAGAGAAGTAGCTATTGGGTTTTTGGGCAAGAGGGTTGCACTTTAGGTTATAAGTAACTAAGCAATTTCTCTCGTGGCTTCGAATTGATCTAGATATGGTTTGAATAGTACTCGATTTGTACGTCTATACAAGCACAACATGTAAGAGAATTTGGTTTACGATAATCGCATAACTGAACAATGCTGTCCAATCTAGTGAGACCAGTCAATGACGATTATCAACTATTTGGGGCCAATGGAATATGTTTTTAACTTCAAGTTCGTAATTTTTGGGACATAGATGTAACAAGAATTGTTATTCTAGTACAGTAAGTAATCGGACTGGATTGCCCTTAGACGAAGAATGCTTTAGCCTCAACTCACCAACTAGTTCATGAATTATTGCACTAATGTTTGCTTGCCTGCTCTATTTGCTGAATATGCGTGCCGATTTTTTTTATTTTGTGCTCTTGCTTATGTGTGTGTGTGTGTGTAGATCAGTATCTACTTAAATATGTGTGAGAAGAAACCTAGTATACATCATGATTCATGGCATTGTAAAAGAACGGTAAATCGGTTATTAACTTCACTGAAATTTCGCTAGTGTGATGCTGAATTAGGTGTACTATTATTATTTATAAGAGCGAATGATGTAATAAATATACTGATGTAATAGATTACATGAACAGGCTACCAGTTCGTTGGGACAAAAGCACCATAGTTGTAATGAACGAGGTGCGTGTTAGCAGCCCTTATCTCCCTGAATCTGTTCTCGGAGGAACACCTGCTGCCAATGATCGTGTCCGAAAAGTGGTAAGATAATTGGCAAATTTAAAATAAAAATACATAATAAAGAAATAAATAAAATTGCTGATTTTTTTTTATTTAATGTTACATGGGTTCAGCTGGAGTTTGAGAAGAAGAGGTTGCAATCTCGCTACGGTGGTCTGTGATGGCGTAAAAGCTTATGACTTTTCTTTACGCAAATTTCTAATTTCTTTACGTAAAAGAGTGTTAGAGATATGTATGGGAAAGAACGAATGGCCTTTTGAGTTTGTAACGAACCTCAATGGACTAGTAAGTTCTATCGAGATTCATCGGATTTTCTTAATTTTTACGAAAAATTATGAAGATTTATTATGGTTCTTGTTTCTCTGAGTTATTTGTGCCTGAAATAATCAACCAACATTTTCATTACATCATGGTGAACTTGAAGACAGTGTTAATTACTCATATCTTGTGTGTGTGTGTCTGTGTGTTCTTGAAATTTCATTTTCGGCTATATTCATTCAGTTATATTGTGCTGTATTTGAAATATATTTTTGGGTAAATAGCACTCAACCCCCTGTGGTTTGAACTTTGTGCAAATGACCCCTTGTACTTTAAATATAGCACATGACCCCCCTGTACCTTCAAAAAATTCTTATTCCTAATGAGCATGATTATTTTTCCAAGTGCAAATACCATAGGGGGTTATGTGCCTATATTAAAAGTACAAGGGGTCATGTGCACAAAGTTCAAACTATAGGGGGGTCTTTTATTTATATTGAAAATACAAGAGGGTTATGTGCACAAAGCTCAAACCACAAGGGTCTTAAGTGCTATTTGCATTTTCATATGGAGTCATTCGAAATTTATTCTTCCGAGTTGTTTTGACAAATTCAGCCTTCTCTTAATGGGCTTAGTCTGAAATATACAGGGCAAATTGTAAATCTATGCAAATTAATGGGCTGAAACGAAACATTGTGGGCCTCAAATCAAGATCACCTCCCTTTTCATTAATGTTAAAAGTTCTATATATTACTGTTAATTTATATCCTTTTATTTTTACATTATTTCATGGAATAATAATTCAATTGTTTTTAAATGTAAAGAGAAAAATGGCAACTTTTCTTGCAGCAGCCCCACAAAGAATTAAAATGTCAATTATTTAATCTTGTTGAATTTTTATCGAAATTTTAAAAATTAATTTTGAGCATTCGAAATCCGTCGAACGAGAAAAAATATTCGAATTTGGTTTGTTCTAGTAATGAACTAGTTTCAAACATAGTTCTTGTGATATATAAGGAGTGAGTATGGAGTAATTTAATTTACTTTTTCACCCCTCGGCCGACTGAAATTATAAAACAACATATAGTATCAAAATTCATTGGGCAAGTTACAGTCACCTCCTTGAGGTAAGATCAAATTACGAAACAATTCCTCTTGTTTTGGTAATTACACTACCCCCTCAACTATGCATTTTTTTACGGAAATACCCCCCCCCCCCCAATTCAGTAGGTAAATTTGACCCCGTAAATATGGCCGTGTAAGACAAACATAGTTGAGAGGGTAGTTGTAATTTCTCAAACAAAAGACGATTTTTTTCAAATGTAACCTTATCTTAAGGGGGTTGCCCGTAATTTGTCCAAACAAACAAATTCACACCCGAAATCGAAATCAAAATCACATATACAAAAAAAAGGGGGGGGAGGCAAAATAAATGGCGAACAACAAGTAACATGAAAATGACAGTTTGCCCACACTATTTTATGCCAAGGGAAAGTAGAAATTTGATACAAACTATCAAACTTTACTGTCTGCAAATATTCAGGCAACCATGCATATTTCACATGAAAATCATCTTCGATTCCTCGTTATTTAGGAACCACAAAAGGCATCGTGTCACCTCCTCATTGGCTGATTTCATAGTCATGTTCCTGCCAAGATTCCAAATTTTCCTTTTTTTTATTTTTAACGTTAATTTGCATGGAATTGATATATCACTGACTCACTGTCAATTATATAGTGGAAAGTGCACAAAAAGAAAAAAGAAGAAAAAAAAAAGGTGAAGGTTCCTTTTTTCCATAATTAATTCGTGCAATTTTTCCCCTTCGTGCAAAATATGTAGGAAAAATTAGGTGTAAAATGTTGTCTAGAGGTGGCATTTGTGTAATTTTGAGGGGTGAAAGTGTTGAAAAGGGTTGTCGAATTGTCCCATGCTTTTACCTTTTTCTTGTCTGTGATTTGGTGGAATATGTTCTATCTCTCTTTTTATTGAGCCTAGTTTGATTGGAAATGTGACTAATATTTAGAATATAAGTTATATGGAAAACATTTTACTTAACTTCAATTCAGTTAGGAAATGCTAGTTTTAAAGTGCCATATCTAACTGCAATATGTGTGTTATTGTGCTGAAGTCCATGTACTCGATATGACGATTTAGCGTTTTCGTTTAATTTATTAGGTAGAGTTAGCTCATCTCATCGACACGTCGTGCATCACTAAATGATGCAAAACTAGTGGGTTATATTGAAATTGACAACAATAAGTCATATCCACACAAAGATCGTTCCCAAAATTTATGGTTTAATATTGGAATTATGTCTTGGAGGTCTGTGAAATGTATCTTATGTATTTCTCTACGGATTATATTGTTACCTTCTCTGTACGGATTATATTGTTACTTTCTCTGTATTTCTATTCTCATTATTTGAGTTCTTATGCTAATTCACATTCACCAAACCAGATAGCTAGATTAAATAAGCCATTTTACGACACATTTCATAATTTAGTGATTACTATTGCAAATTGCAATACTTGAGTTCACAAATATTTTCAGTACTGTATAATAGCTAAATGTATAGTTAGCTAACTTACCTAACTAGAAGGACCACAGCCCAATTCATGCCCCCTTCACACCTAACTTTAATTAATTTGGATCCTAATTAGTTATTATAGTATTTTTTTAATAAAAAATATAGTATTTTTAATATAATGATAATCTATTTTTTTCTGGGCATGTTAGTGAAATTTTACTTTATTAAAAGAAATTGGGCAAATCACAATCTTTACTATCTTTTTTCTCGAGCTGATCGCCTGCAACATACTCATTACAAAGTAATCACAAATAATTATTTCTAAATCAATAGATAATCATATCTTGGTCAGAGACAAATCAAAGACCAAAACTCCATAAACTCATAAAAGTGGTATATTTCGACGGACTACGAGATGTTACACCTTATGAAAAATATCGGCTGATTTTGCAATATATATATATATATATATATATATATATATATATATATATATATATATATATATATATATAGATCAACAATGCAGAATCAGCGTATATTTCACCGAATGTAGCATCTACAAAATGTATTTTCACTGGATTATAGCTATAAATTATAATAAGCGTATATAAATTCCGTTTGTAATTATTATTCAATTCTTTACTCAAACTTGTTGTCCTCTTCTTTCCAATAATGGCTTACATTAACTCCAACAAACATTTGAATTTATTAATCTTTTTTTATTGATTTATTTTAATTTAAGTTTGAACATTCTTTAAGATACACTGAACCAATGTCTATGTTTCCTCCTATTAAGAAAGAATGTAAGGAAAGCTACTCTGAAAACCCATTTCAAAATTAGGTTCAGATGTGTAAACCATAAATCAGAATGTTTTTTTTTTTTATATATATATATATATATATATATATATTCATATTTTTTTAACTTGGAAAAAACAAACAAGTCATAACTCATAACAACAAATTAAAAACTGTCCGGATAGTAGAAAACTGAGGCTATCAGCATTAAATATTAAAATGGCGAGTTGGGAAGATTTAATTAAATAAAAATAGATTGTTGTCCCAATTAGTTAAGGCCATGTTTGAATAGAAATAATAGTCCAATTCATCATTTATTGTTTTTTGGAACTTAGATCTCCAACACCTCACATGGCTTACACAAGCTGACATTTAATTGTTTATATAGGTGTATGTTTGGACAATGTGGTTTTTTTTTTTTTTAAATTGTATTAAGGTAAAAGAAATCTCAATTTCAAAAGACAAAGATCTTTCTTAAGATTTAATAATTCTTGTTATAATCAGATTTAGGTTACAATCTCTGCACACAATCAAATATTTTAATTAATGGGAAATTGGATAAAATTTCCTTGAAAATATTTTGTATGGCTAACTGTTTTGATAGGATATTTTGAATTTGCTTAAAGTTTATCGGGCATTTTAGACTGAACAAAAGTCTATCCGCCATTTTAGACTGAAAATAGACAGCTTAGATTGTCGTGGTGCGACAATAATTGCCCTGATTTGAAAGATACTAGTGTCCAATGGTGTTTAGCAAATTATCATTTAAATTAATTAGGTTCCGCTCGATTATATGGATCAAATTAATCTGAATTATATTATATTGTATTAATTGTCCATTGACTAAGGAATTAGTGAAATATTTGATTCTTTGTATTATATATAATATTAAAATTGTTAAAATCTGGTATTGAATGTGATTTTTCAATTTTATCCATACTTTAAGAATAATCATACCCTAATTAATCTCATTTTAGGAATAAAATTGTCATTTTATTTTTAGTCACTAGTCACTACCCGCGAAAAAATGTTGAGGTATGGTAACTAATAATTTTATTGACTAGTAGCTTTTAATTGCAAACGTGAATTATTTGAATGCCAAGTGAATTGACTATGCTACTAACTTCTACTATTTAGTCAATGCATCAAAAAATAATGTCTTTAACTTATAATTAACAAGTAAGAGCAAATGTTTGAATCTTGCTTTGCGTTTAAGCTTTCTTAAGTTGGTTCTCTACATTATATTTGTAATTAAATATAAATTAATTAAGATTAACTTGCAATAATTATCCCACCACTCCCCACACACTACACATAAAAAGAAGCATTGTTAGTGCATGTTAATAAAGTGAAACTCCTTAATCATGCTTAATATTTTATTGAAGCATCTTAATTAGTAGAAATCTGAAATGCTTATAGATGCCACTTTTTGATTTTATGACAGATCCCCACTTCAATTAACATAGTATTATAACATTTAAGGAACAAAAATCCAAGATTAAAAGAAGGAGAAAATATTCTTTGCTCTCTAATTTCAATATGGCTGCTCTTTTTATTTTATTTTTTAATTATTATCATTATTATAAGATTGGCTATTAAATAATCCATATGCCATTAGAGGTTGTTCCCTTGACCTACAATTGAACAATAATTTATTTTGTGTAATTTACTAAAATATTTAAATAACTAAATTTCTCATAAAACAGTTGACCTGATGTTAACTAAATAACAGGCAGATGTGTACTCTAAATCTGATTTATACGGCAGCATGTAAATACTTATTAGACTGACAATATAATTATTTTGCCGGTTGTAAACTTACATTTGTAAAAAAAAACTTTATAAAATTTTATTAATTTAGCGAAATGTTAAATTATTTTTTACCGAGTTAAGATCGAAAGAAATTATTATTTAAACGAGATTATTAATTTATCGAGATTCTACTGTTCATGTCTTAATTATGTCATCATATATTTATATTAATACTAGGACACATAAATCTGAATCTTGACCAACCAAGATCACCACCTTTGATGGCAAGCCACGTGGCAGTCTCTGATCGAAAACCCATGCCGGCCCCCTTAAGCTGTGACACTGAAAAATAAACAAAAGTTTCATTTCATGCATATAAAATGTATAGCACTTGTACCATGTATAAATAATTGTATAAAAATACCACTAATCCAAAATTAATAATACATTGTCGTCACTAACAAATCAATAATGCAAAAATTAAAAAAATAATTTAAAAAAAAATAATTAAAAAAATGGAGCATTTTAAACCATATAAGTTGGTTGAGAAGGCGAAAACAGAAAAGGGACCATTGATATTTATCCTCTCACACAATTCCTTCTTTCCTAGTTTCTTCCCTTGTCTATTTCATAACTAATTCATCATCTTCTTCTTCACAAAACATTCCCAACAGAAAGAAAAAAAACCAGCACCTGTCTGTGTGTGTGTGTGTGTGTGAGAGAGAGAGAGAGAGAGAGAGAGAGAGAGAGAGAGAGAGAGAGAGAGAGAGTATTTTAGAGAGAGAGAGAGAGAGAGAGTATTTTAGAGAGAGAAAGAAATGGGGAATTGCCAAGCAGTAGATGCAGCAGCACTGGTAATACAACATCCCAGTGGGAAACAAGAGAGGATGTATTGGTCTATAGCAGCAAGTGAGGTGATGAAGATGAACCCAGGCCACTACGTTTCTCTCATAATCCCGTTACCGATTTCCGACAACGGAGAGCAGAATTCGGACAATAACAAGACAACCGTCAGATACACTCGTGTTAAGCTTCTCCGGCCAAGTGATACCCTTGTTCTTGGCCGGGCCTACCGACTCGTCACCACTCAAGGTTCGACTTTTTTTCTTTTTCCCTTTCGCATGTTCACAATTTTTTATTTTTTTTGTGGGATTTTGATTTTGATCTGGGATTTTTTTTGCAGAGGTTATGAAAGTGCTTAAAGCAAAGAAGCATGCGAAAATGCCGTTCACCAGTTGGAGTCCGTGAATTACCGTAGTTCAGCCCGCTAGTGCGCGGCAACTGGGGCGCCTCTTCTTCTTCTTTTTT